ATCCTCCGTCCTCGTCAAGGTTTGTCTTTGCAAACGCCGCTAATTCGGCGCGTCTGGCGGGACGCCGCGATAGCATCTTTTTCATTAGCACTGACCTCCCCGCGCTGCAAGGAGCTGGCTGATGTCCCCGCAGCGCTCCCCGCCGCGCACGCTGCCAACAAACGTCCCTCCGGCACCGCCAGGGCAGGTCTGGGCCTCGTGCTGATGGAAGGGTGAAGAAAGGAGTGGGAGAGGACGGGAGATCTCTCCTCCTTGTGGCCTCTCCCAGGCCACAGGACACGGGGAATGGCCCTCAGGTTGTACCGGGGAAGGTTCAGGTTGGATATTAGGATAGATTTCTCCGCTGAAAGGATGGTGTGCCTCACAGCCCTCCCAGGGAAGTCTCTGTCCCTGGCAGCGTTCAAAACCTACGTGGATGCTGCACTTTGGGATCTGCACGGGGTGTTCGCTCAAAGGTTGATGACCTTGGAGATCTTTCCCAGCCTCAGTGACCCTGTGATTCCTTGGTTTCAAACATCTCATGGAACCTTTCTGACGGCAGCACCCCCTGTGGCAGTGGAGATATTTTGGCAGACAACTCTCCAGAGGGTCTCGGAGAAACAACGACCAGGGGCTGAGCGGTGTCACCTCCCTCCCAGCACCCAAAGCCGCTGCCACGGCTCTTTCTTTCCCTTCCCCGGGCTTTAAATCCCCACCCGGCTCCCCAAGCACTGACACGACTTTGCTCCTGCTTGTCAGAAGCGAGACACTTAATTTGTCAGTTGGCTACGCTTAATATTTCTTTCATGTGTCGCGTCGATTTTAAATGCACAACGTGTCTGGATAAGCTCATTTTTTTTTGCTTTTTGGGTCTTTTTTTTTCTCACCCCGCTGTAGCCAAAGCACTGAAGGTAGTTGTGTTTAACTAATAAAAAAAAAAGATTTTAAAATGCCGGTTTTGCGCTTCCTTAATTGCCTCCCAATTCCCATTCACAGGGTGAAGGCAAAGAGAGCAAACAGGGAATGTGTCACTCGCCGGGTTCTCATCGTAATCAAAAATGTAAAAATTGAGAATTTGAATCAATGTACATGAAACCATGTAATTGGCTAAATAAACATGGTGGGGGCAGATAATGGGCCTTCCTGATTAGAAGAAAAATAACTGAATTTCGTGCCAAGGTTATATTTGGCTGCCAAGCAGCACAGTTTGGTGGTTGAATCATTTTTCGGGGGGAGATGAACTAAGCAGAGGGGGCTGGAGGGCAGTGATGGGTCCAGGCAGCTCTTTGCTGCAAAACATTCTTGGGACTGTCTTGAGGGAATTATAAGGATCCAGGGTTGTTAGTGGATGATGGAATTTGGTTTTCCCAGCTCAAGAGCCCAGGGGTGAGAATGTTGGCTCTTGCTGGTGGTCCTGGATGCAGTGGGGGCCTGGCTTTGCAGAGGCTGCTCTTGCAGTGAGGGAAGAGGCTCCCAAGAGCAGGATCTCCCAGGTAAAGCCCTACCCCAGCTGGATCTATTGTGACCTCTAAGTGTCCATCCTTCCTTGGACACTCTTGGGGTGGTTTGTAGCTTCATGGGGGGCTGTGGAGTTAATCAGGATGCACCACATGCCTCTCACCCCTTTTCCATGTAAATTGGGGCAGCTTTGCCAACCTGACCAATGAAAATAAATAACATCCTGATGTCCAAGCTGCACTGAAACTGCTCCACAGACCTGTGGGAAGTCCGTGGTTGGAAGCTGCTGCCCATCAGCAGAAACACAGAGTTGTGTGTCAGCACAGCTGGGAATCAACGTCTGGCATCCAGTGGTGGTGACAGGAGTTGTCTGGTGATGCCACCACTGCCACCACACCTGCCAGCCCTCTGAAGACTCCTCCCCTGCGCTGGCATTTGGGAGCAGGAGACAAACCATCCAGGTCTGAGGATCGGTTTTCATTTGTCCTTCCCCCTTTGCTTTCTCTCAGCCAAAAGTCGTTTCACTGTCAACCTCGAGCCATCCCCCCTCAGCCACAGCACTGCCGCAGGTTTTTTTTGCTCCAGACCTGCTTGTCCTTCCCCTGCAGAACAAGCACGGGATGTCCCCAGGCGTTTTTAATCTCCAAAATGCCTCCCCAGGCGAATCCTGTTAATATTGGAGAGTGCAGGAGCGGGGGGAGAGCTGCCCACCCTGTCGTTGGTATTCATTGCTCGCCACCCCAACGGGAACCAGGAAAAGCTGCTGGGTCTGAGCTTCCAGCCCGGCAGCAAAGGAGTTAAAGGGAAGGTGAAACATTAAACAGAGGCACCATGAGAAAGGCAGGATCCTGGGAAAGCTTTTGTGGGGATGAAAAAAAAAATAAGCTGTCACCTGGAAGGGCTCCAGCTCCCACCATGCCCGGGAATCCTCTGCTCCCCGGCACCCAACCTGCGGGCACAGGGATGCCAAAATCTGGGGTGCTGATGGGGACAAGAGGGTTTTGCAGGTTGCAGAGGGCTGGGATATGCCAGGGAAGCAGCTGGCATCCGGGTTTTGCCATGGGAGAAGGAGGACTGTGTGAGAGGTAACAGAAGAACACGGAGTTACATAAGAACAATAAAAAGAAGGAGAGGTTTTTTTTGACTCATAAAGTTTATCAGCCCAAGCTGGTAAAACAGAGACACACTGGGATGCAGGACACTGCAGTCCTGGCACATCAGTGCCAGGATGGCCCTCCTGGGACTGCAAGAGGAGGCTCCAGGGTGGGAGAAAGAGGCTGGACCGAGGCAGCTTTCAGCACAGGGAGAGGGTGCATCAGCCATTCTCCAGCAGCAGCAGCTCCAGCTAAAGAGCAAACCTCAGGCAGGGTTAATTAACGTGGCCTCACAAGGTTTCCTATCGTTGGGTGGGCACCACTGACCTTCACACAAAGCCCTTGAAGGCAGAAACACGAGGTCTCCAGGCAGTGACCAAGTGAAGTAATAAATACTTTGGGAGCACTTTCAGAGAACATTAACCTGAGCTGTCCTCAACCACCGCCAGCAGCACCGCATAAATTACCTGGGGAGGCTGTGGCTGCCCCAGCCCTGCAAGTGCCCAGGGCCGGGTTGGACCAGGCTTGGAGCACCCTGGGCTGGTGGAAGGTGTCCCTGCCCATGGCAGGGGGTGGGATAAGACAGGCTTTAAGGTCCCTTCCAACCCAAAGCATCCTGGGATTCTGTGATAAAGGTGATACCATGGGCTACTCCAGCACCGTCCCTTTATGTACAGGCACTTTGCACACCTCCATGACTTCATGCTCGTGACGTGCAGCCACTGAGGAGGCAGGTATGGGAGGGTTTTGTCTGTCTGGAGCTGGTTTGGTCCGTGTGGGCCTGACAGATGACTGATGACGAGCTGTTTGAGGGGAAGGGAATGCAATTACCCAGAGTAGCTTTTGGCAGGACACGGAGACGACGGAGTGAGGTCGGGGAAACCTGGGAAAAGGGTGATGAAGGACCGTCTGCTGACATCCAGGGCCCTGGTTTGCTTTTGGTTGCCTCCTCAGAGATGCTGTTCGTGCAGTAATTAGCGATGTAAAACATGCATCGGGTGCTTTGTTCCCATTAGACTTGGCTACGGTTGGAAATGAGGCGCAGCAGTAGCCCGTGGTTAATTTTACCAAATGTTCTCTTTAATTTCATTTAAGACCAGCTGTCTGCAAATCCATAGTGCCTATTTACGTCACGTGCATATAAATATATAGACAGATATAAATATACAAACGTTCAATTCCATTCTGAGGAGAAGGCAGGAGATGCCAAGGCACCGGTAGGAGCAGAGATAACGAGGCAACCCCCAGCCCCCAGGCTCCAACCCCAGGGGATGTGGGAGATCAAACCTGAAGTGCTGACAGAGCTGACCTTTGGGTGGTACCTCCCTTGAGATCCAACCTCCCTGCCGTGCTCCTCCACCCTAAAATCCACCATGTGCTGCGTGTCCATGTCAATATTAGCCACCTGGTGTCTCAGCAGCTCCTCGAGGGGCAGTGAACAGCTGGGAGCCCGCGGGATCCGCCGTTTATTTGCATCCCAGCAAACACACCTGTGTTTAAACACCTCTCACCAGCGGCTCCGCCCAGCTCCTGCTTTGCTCTTCCTTGTGCCTTCAGGGCTGGCTTTACCGGCAGTGGCCAAGGGCAGTTTGTTTCCCTGCTTGGTCCCGGGGACTGGGAGGACCCTGTCTGATGGAAGGTCCGGGTGATATGGTGCCAAGGGGGCTGGTGGCTTCTCCTCCCAGCTCTCACCATCACGACACATCTGAGCCACCGCCAGTTGTCTCGTGAGACCAAACCACGGGCGCTCAAACCCGAGTTTGCGCCGTCCCTCCCTCTGGCAGCACCAGCACAGCCGTGAGGAGGCTGCCGTGGGGCGAGGGGAAGGGCCGCAGCTCCTTGGCCCCGAAGCGCGGCGAGACGTGGTCGGCCAAGAAGCGGAGGTGGAAGCGGCGGCCGATGCAGTGCACCAGGCTGCCCAGCACGGCACACCGCAGGCCAGACGGCTCGGGCAGGGGGCAGGAGGCACACTCGTACCACAGCTTGGCCCTGGCGCCGCAGCGGTGGACGCTGAGGCCGGCGCCGCGGTGCAGGTCGAAGCGGTAGATGAAGCCGTTGGCGCTCACCATCTCGGCCGTCCTGTCCCTGCTGCCGATGGCCGGGCTGGCCCTCCAGCTGTCCAGGCGGGGGTCGTAGCGCAGCAGGACGTAGCGCAGGGTGCCCCCGGTGACGTAGATCTCCCCGTCGCACACCGTGGCCGTGTGGGCCACCGCGAACGTGTCGTGGGGCAGCGGCGCCGCGAAGGCCCAGCGGTCGAGCCGGGGGTCGTAGCGCTCCACCGTGCAGAGGCACTCGCCCCCGATGGCGTACAGGTGGCCGTCCAGGGCGATGAGCTTGCAGTGGGGCCGCGCCTGGTTCAGGGGACAGATCTCCCTCCAGATGTTGGTCAGCGGGTCGTAGCAGAAGACGCGCTTGGAGGGTCTCTGTGTCGGGCCCGTGCCCTCGCAGCCGGACACCACAAAGAGGTAGTTGAACATGCTGCACGTGGCACAGCCCTGGGACACCACCTCTGGGGGCACGGGGCAGAGCTGGTGCCAGCAGTCCCCTCCTTCGTCGTAGTAGCAGAGGCGGCTGGGGTGGAGGTCAGGCTCCTGCACGCTGACATCTGCCACGACCACGGACATCTTCCCCTTCATCCTCCGCCGCAGGATCAACTCCCGCTCACCAGCGTTGAGGCGGCCGTAGATGGAGGGTGTCCTCAGCACCTGCAGGTAGTTGTCACTCATCACCTTGTAGGCAGCCTCCTGCAGGGCTCTGAGCCCCCGCGCTTTGGCTGTGTTGAGCACCTCGTAGCAGTTCCCCAGGTCCAGGTGGGTGTCTGGTGGCAGCTGGGAGGGGTCAGGACTGGCCACCAGTCCTGGCTGGGGGCTTGCAGGTGGTGTTGTTCCAGCTAGAGCTGAGACCCCAAAACCCTCCATGGGCAGCTGGAGGTGGGGGCTGTCTGCGATCTGGAGGATGCTGTTCTTGCGGCCGGGTGATGGAGGCTCAGGAGAGGTCTCTGAGCTTCTGGTGGGTGGTGGGACTGTGGAGGAGATGGTGGGATCATGTGCTGCCAAAGCTGGGTCCTGCATCTGTGTTTCAAAGCTCTGCAGCTCTTCACTGACCCGCTCGGAGCTGCGACACCGGGATATTCCCGGAGGGATGTAGGGGAGAGACTTCTTCTTCAGCACCGACTCGGAGATGGACTGCACGTAGTAGTCGTAGACTTTGCCTCTGAGCCCAGGGAGTGCTTGGTTGTCCCTGTCCTTCCCCTGTCTCTCAGGGATGTAGTTCTCCTCCACCTGGATCTTTGCGACCGAGGAGAAAGAGTAGGAGGTGTCGGACCCTGCATCGCTCGCTGTCATCAGCAGCCCCAGGTTAGAGGTGACACTGAGGGTCTGGATGGATTCCCTGTTCCCCTTGGACTCCCTGCTCATGCCTCCACCAGCCAAATCCTTCTCCGTGCTTTGGGCACGTCCATCACCTGCCATCTGGGCATTAGAAATTCCTGGGGAAACCCTGGTGCTCGGAGCAAGTGTTTCCTTCTCGGAATGGCTGCTCAGTGTGTCAGCCATGTTCCCAGGGTCACGAGAGCTCAGCTCCCTTCCCAGTTCCCTTCCCACATCACTTCCCAGCTTGCCTCCTGGCTCACTTGCCCACTCAATTCCTGACTCATTTCCTAGCTTGCTTCCCAACTTGTTTTCCAGATTACTTCCCAGATTGCTTCCTGGCTCGCTTGCCAGTTTATTTCCTGACTCGTTTCCTAGTTTGCTTGCTGACTTAGTTCCCAACTTACTTCCCAGCTCACTTCCTGACTCATTTCCTAGCTTGTACACTGACATGCCTCCTGGATTATTTCCCGTCTTGATTCCCAGCTTGCTTCCCGGCTCACTTCCCAACTCACTTCCCAACTCGTTTTGCAGCTCATTTCCCAACTTGCTTCCTGGCTCCATACCTGCGTCACTACCCAGCTCAATTACTGGCTTCCCTTCTGACTTACTTCCCAACTTACATCCCAGCTCCCTTCCCAGCTCCCTTTCCCTCATGGCCGGCCCGAGCCGGGCTCTCCCACGAGTCACCCCCCGTTCAGAAACCATCTCCTCTCCCTCCTCCTCCCCGCTTGTCGCCCTTCCATCCCCCCGGAGGGGCTCAAGCCGCGTCCCAGGGATGCTCCCTGATGCGTCCCCACCATCCCTCTTCACCTCCTCACCCCACACCCTCCTCCGTCGCAGACCCACCGCCCCATCCCCATCCCCGTCCCCATCCCCATCCCGGGGCGGGTTTTCCCTGTGCTGTCCCTCGTCAGCCAGCGGGGTTTTGCCCCCAGCGAGCGAGCGGGTCCTGTAAAACCTGTACGCCAGAGTGAGGAGGAGCAGAGCGGCGGCGGACAGGACCAGCTTCCCGGCCAGCTGCATGTCGGACTGCCAGGACACGGCTGCCCGCTGGGGCATTTTTCCATACCGGGAATGCGGAGCAGCCGATTAATGATTGCCGGGCGAGGCCGAAGAGTGGAGCCCAAGGTCTGGGGCAAGGTGACTTTGAGCGGGCAGAGCCACGGGAGGTTTCCGGACGAGCTTGGCGGGGCTGGGCTGGGCTGGGCTCCAGAGAAAGGTGCAGCCCAGAGCAGGTGGCACAGAGCCGGCTTTATGAGCCTGGGAAAAACAGGTTTAGGGAAAAGCAACAGGAGGAAAAATATCCCCTCAGAGCAGCCCGAGGTGCTCCCTCCTCATTCCTGTCGCTGTTTGAAAAGGATCACGTAACGGGAGGGGGAAATTGCTGCGGAGAAAAGTTGTTTTGTTTGAAAATGCTTCTCATCCCTCGGTGCAGACACAGGGAGAGGAGGGAGAAGCGGCCGGAGCCGGCAGACCTTTGGTCTGACGCCGAGCAGCTGCTCCGCGGCACAGCCGGGTGACTAATTCGGTGGCCTCGGTTTGCAGCACGAAGTTAACGAAGGGTGACGGGAAATAGCCTGGAAGATCCTGGGGTCTCTTCGAGGCCAGCTCGGAAGTGGCAGGGCAATTAAGAGCTGGTGGAAAAGGAGCTGCGGGCTTTGGGAGGGGGGAAAAACCTGGCACTGAGAAGAAAATAAAGGCAGGAGTTCAACTGGTGGCTGCCGGGATCAACGACCTGCATCTGTGTGCTCGAGGAGAGGGATGAGCTAAGGAAAGTAAACACAAGCATTAGGACCAGGAACAGAGATAAGGGATGGGAAAGGATGTGTGTAGGATATCCGTGGGGATTGGAACCACTGTGGGGAAAGTGAGGCAGGAGGACGCCAGGCTGTGTCACATTTGCTTCTTTCCCCCCCTGGGAAGATGTTGACGATGAGCCTGGTCTGAATTTCAGATTTAGGGGGATTGTTGTCCCCGGAGTCCCCGAGGCAAGCAGGGCCCAATGCTTGGACTGTGACAGGGGAGAAGAGGAGGGAGCCTGGGGAATGGCATCGCTCCCCACCACTCTGGCTGTGCTGCTGCTGAGGAGATCCCTGAGCGAGAGGAATTCAAAGTGATAAATTGAATTGCCTTTCCCTGAGGGGAACATCTCACATGCTGAGAGATCCAGAAAGGAACGAGGGAGCAAAGAAACAGCCAAAATGAGGGAGAGGGAGGTAGTGGTGGTGTGAAAGCTTCTGTTTCTATGCAGGGACTCACTCCCTGCCTGCTCTGTCCCGATCCGGTGGGATTTTCCTGCGAAATGAACCCAGGTGATGTTCCGATGGGCTGGGTGGGATGTGTCCCAGCTGCACACGTCGTGGGTCCTCACACCACGCGTTGCTGATCCTCAGCAGCCCCTGCAGAGCCCGGCACTGCCCTCTGTGATGGGGAGGAGCCTCTGAACCCCTCCCCGGGGCACTGGGAGGGTCCCAGCACTAAATGTCACGGGCTGGGTTTAGGACAGGACCCGTGGTGGTGCCAGAGGAGCTGGATGTGTATCTGACATCAGAGCTGCCAGGGGTGCTCCTTAGGTGGAGGATCACGTGCTAAATAGCAAAATATATAGAGATATATCTAAAGAGGATGGAAAAGAAGCATTGTTGTGACCTCCCAGAGCTGGCTGGCACTCTGGGACCCCTGTGCACATCCCTGCTGGTGACAGGGAGAGCCCACCAGTGGCTTTTGGGGGAGCATTTGGGACGTTGTCATCTTGTGTGGGGAAAAGCAGCAATGAAGAGGTTGAGGGGAGGAGGATATTTAGATTAAAAGCTGGACTTTGTAGCAGGGATGGTGTGATGTATCCCTTGGATGCATCTTGAGTTCTCACCAAAGGCCAAACCAGCACCAGCCAAACCCACCAGCCACTCTCCTCCATCCCATTTGGCACAGGGCCCAAAAATCTATCACTGAGGGCTTGGTCTGGCCAAAACCCTGGGAAAAGGGGTGTCCCTCCTACCTGTAAACCCAGAAAGTCCTGAAGCTGAGGGTAACAGGAACATGTGTTGAGTCTGGGCACGTGTTTCGGGGCTTGGCTAATTGGTAAAGGGTCTGGCCACCCCTGACCCCTGGTTTCTCCGTCTCTCCTGCCGTGGTTTTTATTCTGCAGGAGGATCTACAAAGATCCCGGCATTTGAGAGTTGAGAAGTATGAATTATGCATGTCCTTGGCAGCCTTGTGAACCCCGGGCCCGGTAATGAGGTGGGGGAGGCAGGGGAAGCACCGAGCGAAGCTCCCGCTGCCTTTCCCCACCCTATGGAGCCAGAGCATCCCTGGTTTGGTGTCCCACACCCCAACAACCCCGAAGAACCCACGGCAAAAATTCAGGTCCAGCAGAGAAATCCCTATTTATCTCTGCCTGGGGGAAGGATGATGGGTGGTGTCGGGGAGCGGGAGAAGCAGCAGTGACGTCTCGGCACTTGTGACTCTAATTGAATGTAATTACCTCTTCCAAATTTTGCTAAAACCTTTTCAAAGTCCCCTAAAATGAGGGAACATCGATAACGCTGCTCCTTGGGGTTTTCAGCTCTCGTCAGCCCTCAGAAAGGCGCTTAATTTTTTACAAGCTAATCATATCTCTTCGGTAGGTTGTCAGGCGCGGATCTGTCATCTCTCATCAATAATGAAACAACCTGAGCAGCTCTTTTCCCCTCCAGCCTTCTGCATTATTCACTGCCAGGTCCTCAAACAATGGGATGTGTGGTCGGGGGGAAAGGGGGATTTAATTGTTGTCCTTTGTAATTACCTGGAGGGAGGTGGGGGGGGTGGGGGAGGCAGGGCTGGTGGGTGGTGGGTGCAGGATGAGGAGGGGCAGGAGGTGAAGGCGGGGTCCAGCACGGCGTGGATGGGTTCCTTTGGTGGGGTGGCATCTCTTTGGGCCTCTTGCCTTGGGGGGAATTGGGGAAAGCAGGCAGCACCTCTGCCCAAAATGAGGAGGGGCTCCCAAGCCCCCTGTGCTGCCGCTGAGAAGATCCCAACCTACAGATGGACCCATCCCCGGGGAAGGAGCTGAGCATCCCAAATTGGGGTGGATTTGGGATGCGGGACCACTGAGCTCCCCGTTCCTCTCGCAGCTGCTGCAGGGGGAGATCACGTCGCTGCTGAGGTGGCACCGAGCAGAGCCGGACATGGTGGCAGCGCCGCGGCAAAGCTCCTCATTTCCACGGTTCCGGCCTAAACCCGCCACATTTGCATTTAAATGGAGGTTTGGGCGCCTGTAAATCCTCATTGTTTGGAGCGAGAAGGCCTAATGGTTGTTTAATCACGTCGGGATGAGGCCCTTGGAGCATCTCCAATCCAGCGAGCACGGCGAGAAGCATCCTCGGTGTGTTGGGGGGTCTCTCCTGCCTGCTCCGTACCGGGGCCGTTAACTGAGTCACGCAGGGTTCCCCGAAAAATGAAGGTTCCTCTAAAAAAGTGAAGATTTCCCTCTCATCCAGGGAGGAACGGTGGGAGCAGCTGGAGAAGAAGCAGATCTGTAGGGGGCTGGATGCTCAGATGCTGTTCCTTCGGGATGAAAGTGGAACTGCTGGTTCTCCCACATCCCAGCCAGTCCCAATCCATCCCCGTGTTGCTTCCAGTCCAATTATAAACTCTGGGCTTTTGTGGACGGGAAGAAGCTCCTGAGCTGCCAAGCGGTTGTTGGGCTCCTTTGGGGCTGGGAAATCGCTCACAGCGAGGTTGGCAACGGAGCAGGGAAGGGATGGAATCTGCTTAATAATAATTAATCATAATAGTAATAATGATGCTTAGCACTCGTCGGGGGCTTTGGAAAGATGAAGCGCCACACGGCTACTGGATAATCCTCTAGGATTAAGAGTTCCCAGAGGAAAAGGCAGGGGAGCGCCTCGTCCTTGGGATCCTTTCCCCTCCACATCTGCTCCCCGGGGATCCTGGATGCTCTCCGGGTACCTTGGGGCAGGAAAGCAGAGAAAACCATGGGCATCCTGCAGCGCTGGGCAGCATGGGCACAAACCCACCGGGGTTTTGCCATCCTGCAGCAGGACTGACGCCACGCCGGGATGGGGGGCCATGGGAATGCTCGGGATCTCCGTTTCCATGGAGACGATTAGCCAAGAGGGACGGGGAGGGTGGCACGGAGCAGGGGCGGGTGCGGGCTGGTGCCCGACGGGACATGCGCTGCCCGCTCATGTGTGAGCACTGACATTTTGGGTTGGGAGCTGCCTGTCACTTGTGATTCACCACCAGCCCGGGACAAGTGCTGTGCATGGCCCTGTCTCCCAGCAGAGCTGCTTCCCCCCAGCCCAGGTTCGGATAAGGCCAGTGATCCGCAGCTTTTGGGCTCCCAGCGCTGCCATCCACGCGTGTGTGTGGGCTTGTCCCCAGCGTCCCTCACACTGGGGACATCTGCAGGTCCTTCCCCTGAAGATCTGGAGCATCTGGGTGCAGTGGGAATGGTGTAACTGGATTTTTCCAGGGGAAATTTGGTCCTTGAATCATAGATATGCCCCACCCCCTCCAAGGCCTCGCAAAGCCTCCAGGTACCCTGAGACAGTGCTGGGAACCCCAACACAAGGCAAAACATTAATTACAACCTTCTACCAGGGGAGGTTTTTCTTTTTCCTTTTAATTAAATTGTCTGAGGAAGCCAAGACACAGAACAGGAAGAGATCGAGACTGTAAATAGTATAGAAAAAAAAAGAGCGAGAGAACCGATGGACGGAGGTGGAGATGCCGGGTGGAGCCGAACGGAGGAGGAAGAGGAGGAGGAAGAGGCAGGTGAAACTTCACGTGAGCTCCAGGATCACTGTCAGGGTGAGCG